TATAATTATTCACATAGATACAAATTATTTTTCCTCCCCTAGATACAAATTCTTTTTTTTCCAAAGATTGATTGATTTGAGAGAGAGAGAACACGGGCAGGGGGAGAGGTAGAGGAAGAGGGAGAGGGAGGGAGAGAATCCTCAAGCCTCTGCTGAGCCTGGAGCCCGACGCAGGGCTTGATCCCAGGACCCTGAGATCATGACCTGAGCCGAAATCAAGAGTCGGATGCTCAGCTGACTGAGCCATCCAGGTGTCCCCCTGGATAGAAATTCTTACTGCTTGTTACTCCTTTGTAAAGACCCAGATTTCCACGTACCGTAGTCCTCCTGCTTAAAGAACTTTAACGCTTCTTGAAATGGAGGCCTGCTAGTAATGAATAATTTCGGTTTTCTATGTCTAAGTCTTCATTTCATCTTTGCTTTTGAAAGCTATTTTCCCTGAGGAAAAAATTCTATGTTGATAGTTTTTTTCTTACAGTAATTTGAAATACTGGTCCATTGTCCTCTAGCGTGCATTTTTAATGATAAATGTGTAGTCTCTCCCTTTAGGCTTTAAAAAATTCTAGCTGCTTTTAGAATATTCCCTTTATCACCAGTTATGCAACTTAATTATGTTTCTTTGTGTAGTGTTATGTTTCTGTGCCTGGGGTTCATTGATCTTTGGGTTTATAGTTTCTATCAAATTTGGAAAATCTGGATAGTTTTTATTGCTGTTTTGAAGTTCAGTAATCTGCAGTGAATAAAACTGACACAGTTCCTGCCTTCATGGAGCTGATACGTAATCAACAGTTTTGTCTTCTGATAAATGCCGTGGAGGAAGTGCATAGAAGGACCCTGCTTAGAGATGTGCTGGACCTCTAGGAGGTGAATTTAAGCTGAGCATTGAAGGGTAAGAAGTCAGACGTGTGAAGAACAGGAAGAAATGTCCTGGGCAGAGGGAACAGCAAGCGTTATGGAAGGGCCCTTCGGTTGGGAAGGAGGTTGGTCTTTCTCAGGAACTTTGGAGTGGTTGGCAGGGTCCAGATCAGAGTTTTGTAAGTCATGGCAAAAGCTTGGATTTAACTGCAAATATAACAGAAAGTAATCAAAGGGTTTTAAGCAGGGGAGCAACAATCTAGTGCATGCTTTAAAACTATTTTTCAACTGTATATTCAGAAACAGTTTACTAATTCTCTGAAGAACTGCCTACTTTCTACAGAATAACTCTCAAGTGAATTTCATACATGTATCTTTGTTTTATATATGTACGTAGAGCAGTGTAAGTGAAAACTACTATAGCATACTTGGCTATTCTGTTTCAGTAAGATACTAATAACTAACTTTCTTAAAACTTATATTCCAGCTGGTCGAAGTTAAAGGCCCCAATGATCGTCTTTCACATAAGCAAATGCTCTGGTTGGATGAACTGCAGAAGTTGGGGGCCGACGTAGAAGTCTGCCACGTGGTTGCTGTTGGAGCTAAGAGCAAAAGCCTCACCTAAGAGCTGTTGAGTTTGGGGGTGTCTGGTGACACATGGATTGATTTTCAAAAGCATAAAGCATCATTACATTTTATTTAACTTTGTTATGTCAGTAATAAACCTGAGAGTTTAAGATTCATCATTGTACAGTGTCTGTGTCATAAAACTTGGTCTTGGCTTGAATGTACTCATTGATTCCACATAGGTAATGAACTTTCTAGAAGGTTAGAACCTTGGTGGCCATTTTAGGAAATGGATGCATCTATGTTACTAAGCTACACTTGCAGAACAGCTGGAAAAAATCCAAACAAATGGGATGTTTGTTTCACAGCTTTCAGTCTTTTATAAAAGTAGCATACCCAATGTCTCTGGTAAGTATACTGGAGAGACCTGTATTTAGGGTTTTCTAGACTGCCCTGATATACTCAGCTGTTAAACATTCTTGTTTTAGGATTATCTAAGAAGGACACAAACAGATGAAATTCTTTCTCTGGGAATTATTAAAAATAAATTCTCATTAAATTCCTTAACTTATAACTTGCTCTTACTAATTGGGCCTAGATCATCAAAGGAATGAACAGTCTTTATCAAAGGCAACTGTCCCTTTTCATCCTTAGCTAACCTCCCTTATGACCAGAGGGGCAATTTTCTGTATAGACGGTGTAACTGCAACAGGGCTGTTCATGAGAGCCCTAGGCTGAGGAAGGTATACGGTAGGAAGGCAACTAACCAGAACTATAGTACCAGGAGTCCGAGATGGGGACCCCAGTCTCCCCACAGACTAGTTCGGAGACCTTCTTAGGGAAATGTTACTCCCCAGCTTGGTGATTTATTGAACAGAAGGACAGGTTAGGGCATGGTCCACTAATACCCACATGGCCTTAACTACAGCCAGTTCTGAATCGATGTTAAAAATGTTACCGATCACGATCTTGCTTCAGAGCAGGCAAAAAACCTGAGTGGATGACACCCACACAACTATAGTTGGAAGAAAACGCCTTCACTTCTTGAATCACTAGGTTCTCGTAGATGATTTCATATTGATAACTACAACCACCAATTTCTGTGGGAATTTTATTTAGCAGTCAAAATTTCCTTCACATTCATCACCGTTGACCAGGCTCGCTCATCTTCCTGCTCATCCTACTTTAATTGAAGTCCATCAATTTTAGGCACAAAGGTTTTTAGTTTTCTCTCAAAATCAAGTTCTAACTACTTGAGGTTACTGCTACGGCAAGCAGGTTTCGTTGAAGGTACGTTGACTAATGTTCCCCGTTAGCACAAATTAATACACTTTTCTTAAATAAAGTTAAAAGACATTTTTGGTTTTAGAACCGGTTTCCATCATAAAATAACAGTAAGACATTGTACATTTTTCCCCAGTACTAGGAAGTCCCAAGCTGTCTGGGGCCCGTGCGGCATGCCGTCGGCGCGAACCTGGCTCGCGGGGCAGTGGGGCCGGGGTGTGAGGCGCTCTTTGGCGTGGCGTCCGTTCCCGCACGCAGGCCTCCGGTCGGCCCCTCACCCTTCCTGCCAGCAGAGGTGCCAGGAAGCTTTACGATGGCTGGGACTCGACGCCGTTACAGCTGTTCTTCATATTATGCACGATAAACTGTGGCACGATAATCATGGTATAACAGCTGTCCAGCGAAAATAAAACGAAAAACTGTATTTTACTACATCTGATTATCATACAAAAATATGCACATTTTCTATTTTAAAACAGTATTAATAGTACCTAATCTTCTTTAAACTTGTAAATTAAAAAAATTGCTCAAGGAGTTGAGATAAATGTGAGGAAAGAGAAGTATAGAGAGATAAATGCTCAACAATCCCTCTCCAAAACCCCCCAGTTTAGAATAATTTGTAATAATAAAAAGGCAGCTTAATCAAAAAGGGAGAATCATTACACTTTCCGTGGCAGGATATGCTGTGGGATTTTAAAGGGACTGGGACTGGTTTCCAATCAAGGACTATAAAATGTTTAATGGCAACAGTGCTACTGAAAAAAGCCCTGATTTTCTAGGCAAAGTTGGCAAAAATATTGGGCTTATCCACAAGATGAATTTCCTAAGACATTTTATAAGAACTTCTGTCCTTGAAGTCCAGAGACATCAATCTTAAAAAGGCGAATAATTCAAACAGAAACAGCTATTCATGACACCTAACAGTAAAACAGTGCTCTGAAAAAACTTTTAGAAAAGATTAACCACTTCACTGCAAAACTCTTGTAAAGCTTAAGATGGCAGTTTAATTAAGAAACTCTAAATAACAGCCCAATTTGAAAACATCCACCCTGTCAACAGGGCCTGGGGTGCGCACCGGAGGGAGGGGTGAAGGCCATCGCTGTGAGGAGCTTCGGCTTGGCCCCCCCAGCGCTGGCTGGGTTCCGGTCCCACGGTCTGACCCACACACACCTCTGTGTGCTTCTCCCTCTCCATACGGCTGGCAGAGGCCGGGGGGCGGGGGGGCTTCTCTCCACATGAAAATGGCAGTCTTTTGGGAGAGGTACACTTTCATTTCTCCTGTTGGCTCTACCGGGCCACCAGGCACTTTGTCGGTGGGAGGAGGGCCTTCCACACAGGTGAGCGGACTCACGGCCTCCTTAGTGATTTCCAAGGGCAAGTGTCTGCAACGGTTCACCACACTGGACACAGACGGGAAATGCCCCAAACGCCTCGGAGCAAGACCGCTCTTTCTGAGGGTGGGTTTCGGCGGACAGCACTCTCCCCCTGCTGCTGTCCCACCAACACGGACCTCCCCACACGCCTGCTGTGACCCTGCTGACTTTCAGAGGGAAGGCAATGTGGTTTTGGGGACTCCTGGCCATTGGTAGGAAGCTCCGAGGTGAAAAGCCTGTTTCCAATATGCAGGCTTTTAACACCCTTATTTTAAAAACTGAAATTGTGTTTTACTTTGCGTTAATGTGTACCTTAATTAATATTAATGTCAAAGGCACTTCTAAGTTGGTATTATCTACAGCAAATGCTTTCAAAGTCAACCGTGCATATTAGTCCTATGAAGGTAAAAGCAAACTCAGGATTTTAAAACACAGTGATCTACGGTCCCCAACAAGGTGATCTACAATAAATTATGGCCTTGGAAATACTGAACCCTCAGGTGATTTAGAGAGAACGGAAAGTGACCGGAAAAATATATGAATACCTCCTAACGCCTGTGGGGGGCGCTTACCGGATGCATCTTGAAAATCTACTAAACATTAATTTCTTAACTTTCCTGTTAACTGGTTTGCTCACAGTAGTTAAGAGAGGGGGAAGGTCTGCCTCCAGATCACCTACAACTGGGCCAGACCTGCAATGGCAAAAAGAGGGCATCAAAAAGAAAAGTTCTGCCTGTTTAAAAAAAAAAAAAAAAAAATTACAAAGGAAGCATAATTCAACAGGTTTTCAAAATATTAGTGCAAATTTCAACTGTTATTCTGACATAGAAAATTCTTAGAGCCTCAAACGCCTAGGTTAGCAATTTTAATTCAGCGGAGAAGTTTGTGGCTTCCCTCAAGACGTTCAGAAAATAGTACATTTCAGTCTTCATTTACTAGTGTCTCAGTAGATAACCATATCTTGGCCCCACTTAAAAATTTGCTTAATGGTGTTCCTGAAATGCTTCGCCTGCAGAGGTTGCCTACGGGCGAGAAGGGAAAGGAGGAAGAGAGGAACTCCGGCGTCCCCGAGGCGTCGTGCGGGCCGCTGGCCCGGAAGTACATCCTGCTCTTGTCCAGCCCCGAATCGCAGGCTTCCAGCGGGCCGGCCCGGGGCTGCCGCAGCGTCCTGCTGAGCACGTCCACCTCGTCGGCCAGCAGGGAGAGCTTGTGAAAGGCGGTGATGAAGCCGCCGAGCTTGATCTGGGCCTCAGGCAGCCAGCGGAAGTAGCAGAGCTTCCAGAGTTTGACGCGTGGCCCGGAGAGGTGCGGCAGAATGACGCCGTGCAGGTCGGCCGGTTTGGAAAACCACTCTGTCAAGTAGCGCTCCATCCCGCTCTTCCGGCTGTCGGGGTGCTGAGGAGGCTCGGGCTTTGCTTTTAGTATTAAGGAATTTCTCCTGGGAACTAAGTCTTGGTCGCCGAGGACTCCGTTCTTGAAGGCAGCCGGCATGCCTCTCAGCGTGGAGCTGTAGCTCTTCTGGGGGGGAGGGGAACAGAGGGTTTAGCATTCTCTCTCCGGAGGGCCCCGTTCTGGGAAGATGGTAAAGGGGCAGTGGCAAATGGAAGCCTAGTGCTATGAAAAACGGAACACTCTGTTCCCTTGTAATACCCCACCCACTCCTCCTCCCCTGGAGTTCCAGTCTCTAGGAAGGGACTCTGGCTATCAGCTCCCGCCTGCGTCGGGGTGCGGGAGGGGAGCCCTGCTGTTCAGTGATTTGCTTAAGTGCAAATTTCTAAGACTTTCGGGTTAGGAAAAAATGTAGACCTGGCTCCTTCTAGAAAGAACAGGCGAGTGGATGGGGTTTCCGGAATGGGGCCTTCCAGGCTCAGAGCTCCTATCGGCCAAATCCTAGAGGCTGAGCGAGCTCTGCGGGCCTCGGTCACCGAGAAGAAAAGGCAGGGCAGGGTCATTTCAGTGACAAAGCAAACGATCCCTCAAAATCTGCACCGGCCGTGTTGTCAAGGGAAGTGACTTGGCTCTTAATACTCGGGGTTCTGAAAATACGCCTTGTGTGAGGTGTGAGCAGACACCAGGTTTTTAGCACCGGTGCGTTTTTGTAATTTACCTTTGTCCGTTTGAAAGATTTCACAGAACCGTTCTGTATGCAAGGCGTGCTCTTTCCGATGTACAAGGGGTTATGGAAAAGGGTGCGGTCCTTCGCTGTAAACTGAAGAGACCAGTCCCAAACCGAGGGGAATTTTAAACCCTTTTCATCACCCAACTGGATATTCTTGCTGATAGCAAATTCCTGCAAAATAAAATATTTGAACATCTGTGAAAAGATGCTAAATGAAAGAGTTTAAGTACCTTCCCTTTTTTGGGACGAGCCATTTATCACTATTTAAGTTGAATTTCTGGACTGCAGCAGCTCTAGCCCCCGAGAGCAGCATGTTTTGCTTTGAGAGAAGAGACGTTCTCGGCACCACGATCAGAAGGACACCCCCCACGCTGTGTGAGCGAGGAGAGGACGTTTTCTTCTGGAAGCCACCAAGGAAACTGGGCCCTCCGAGCAATGAGTACATCGTTACAACGCAGTTACTTCTGTACTTGGCGCATTTTACTTTCTGAGCACATGATCGATCGCACACTTACGCATTTACCCGCGGGGCATAAAACATGGCGAATGGACAGGCGGGACAATCTTCGGATGGCAATCTCTGCCGTCCATTTTACCCCGTTTTTCCAAGTGGACAGCCACCCTTCACTTCCTTCGATATCTGAACCACAGCCCAGGGGCAGGGAGGAGGGAATCCGCCCCCCCACCGTGCACAGTCCTGGCATCTGGCCAAGCCCACGAAGACCACGCTCGGGGGCCGGGCGCCCTGCTCCCCGGAGCCCACCTCCAGCCCGCTCTGGGCTCAGGCGGCCCGGTTAGCCAGCGGCACAATGCTGCGAGGTGGCAGCCCACCGCTTCCGTGGGGAGGAGGTGAGGAGCATCTCAAACCATGACCCTCATCTCGGCGAGTGACACAAGCAGGTATATGCAGATTATTAGCTCTCCAGAGGAAATCTCTCAAGATACCGATTTTCTGGATGGTGGGAGATGATGGGTTCTTATTTCCTGCTTTGTACCTTTCAGTATTCTCCAAAAACACAAGAATTTCTTTGGAAATTAGAAAAAAAGGCAAAGACTGTCATCAGAAAAGCAGCGCTGCAGTGAGGAGGCCGGCTCCCCACCACAGCTGTGACCAGGTGTGACCCACGCCGCCAGGACGGCTCGGGACCAGCCGGGAACAGGGAGCCTAGCTAACAGCAGAGGGCAGTTTACAACACTGTCTACTGCAAATGAGTAAAACTGAAATCAGTAAGTACGAAATATATTAAAAAAAATTTTTTTTTAGTTGAGATTTCATTATATATGTGCATGTAGAAACAACCCATTTGCTTTAAAAAAAAAATAGTATTGTTAAGAGCTGAAATCTAGTAAAACATAAAACCCCAATCTATTTTAATGGCCCTTAGGAAAATATATAGAAATCAGTTATCTTTTTGTTTTGTTTTTAAATGTGAAAACTAAAAATATCTCCAAGGAAGAAGATCAGATTTTCCACAAACAGCACCTGACCATGAGGATCTAAGGTGGCCTCAGAATGGAGGAAAGAAGGAAACGTCTTTGTGGAAGGGACTGGGAACAGTGGTCATGCTAAAAATCAGGACAGTTTCTCAGGGAGGGCAGGGGAGGCACTGACGGCCTCCAGTCTGGCTGTTACATCAAATCATGAATATGAACCGCCGAGGGAGGGAGGGATCCAATGTTAGTACTTGCCAGAAAAAGCTTTTGAAAAAAGCCAAGTTAAAAAAATACAGCACTGAAACACAGACCAGGAAAAACAGATGATACACTTTAAAAAAATATTTGTTAACTTTTATCCCTGTAGAGAAATCTATTTGTAAACATACGCTGGCACATCCAGAATCCAGCCAAGAAGTGGGGTGAGGAGTGAGTGTCTCCAGGAGGCCAACCTGGGCTCCACAGAGACCCCCCCACCCCGCCCCAGCACCCACCCAAGGCACTGCAGTCACTGGGACCGCCAGGCTGATGGACTGGCATTTTACATCTAAGATAAAACCTTAGAGGTTTTATCTTAGATAAACTGGTTTATTATGAACAATGTACATCAGAGAAAAATACCTGAAGTGCCCACTCATAAAAATGAAACAGGTTCCTAGATTTTTTTATGTCTTTAAATAATTCATTAACTGCAGCTTAAAATGGTAGCTAAGACAGTTTTAATTTACATATTTTAAATATGCAGCTAAGTGTACTTTAATTCTACCTCAATAAAGCTGGGTAAGACAAATAGAGAAGTTTAGTCCAACAAGGCTGTGTGATTTCCTAGCCTAGTGTACATTTTGACGGCTCAAATGGTGTGTGCGTGTGTACGCGCGCGCAAGCATCCCCGGGTGCGAGCACGGGTGTGCTCAAGGGGCTGTGAAGGGAGAGGAGGTGAGCACCACCACGCGCAGTACAGCCCACAGCACAGCAAGGGGCACGGCACTGAGGATGCTCATGGACAAGAGATGAAAAGGAGCAACCCGCAGACCATCTAGTTTAGGGACAAAGTTTCCCACACTTCAGGAGCCCAAGCCCACCGCTGGTCTCAGCACGGGACTGGGGTAGGTTACGTTCTTCTAGGGAAGCAGAGAATACATTTTATGAAAATCTCCTTCCCAAACTCTCCAATCTAAAATAAACACCCTACGACAGTGTTACGTTTCTCCGACCCTGAGCCCCTGGAGAGCAGCACGGCTGAGACACGGCTCACCTACTCTGAGGTCAGACCTGCTCCCTCATGTCTCCTGCCTTTGTAACAAGCCCCCAGGTCCCCTCCTTTACTTTGGGATGCTCCTCATTAATAAAGTTCTTCCTATTGCAACAGCCTGAATGAAATCACCTCCTTAAATGTCCAGTGCGCTTTGTCTTTCATATCCACATCTAGAATGATTCATTTCTTTAGGAAATAGTGCAGCATTAATGCTTCACAGTTTACAAAATGTTTTCAATTCACAGAATGAGGCCAAAGGTAATATTGTTAGTTTGGTGGATCCATTTTTGCAGCTGGGGAACCTGGGCTCACCATTCTCCCAGACCTTGGGCGGGACTCAGGTTAATCCAGGTCACATCGCCTGGACGAGGGCCTTACCGCCAAAGCTGAGGACCTCACAGCTCCCTGTGAAGGCAACCCCCTGCTTAGAAAGTCTTCCTAGAGGCCCTAAGAGCCGCCCTTTCTGTTTCTCTCAATGGTTATCACAGCGTTTACCAGCTATTCCCATTGTTGGTTCAAATGTGGGTGAGCCAGAACCTGTGGTTCCGGAAGGTTCTACCAGGGGCAATTGGAAGTGACTCTCAAGTTTGGCTCGAGACCCTCCTTAGCCATGATTCTTCCTCTAGGTCAATGAAATGTGACTAGAAACTGATAATCCTACCCCAAAGGGACTGCTGTATGGCAGGTGGGACTGATTCTGAGATTACTGGCTAAGCCAGCGCCCACCAGAGTCCGTCTAGCACCACTGCTACCCTTCACCTCTGACAGTCCTTCTCCACCGAACTCTTAAAGAAAATCATCCTGCTTTGTACAGCTTTTATTCTAGGAAATAAAAGTCCTCTAACAGGACCTTTTTAATTATCCATCCGGACAGCCCAAATGTGAAAACATAAATATAAAAGCACAACGTTTACGGTGGTTAAAATAATTTACATCTTTAAAAACTGGTTATTTTTTTTAAATTGTTACATATCACATTTTCTTTTTCTCTCTTTTTTTTTAAGTAGGCCTCCACATCCAACAAGGGACTTGAACTCATGACCCTGAGATTTGTAAGAGTTGCATGCTCTACCAACTGAGCCAGCCAGGCGCCCCTAAAAACTGGTTTATTATGAACAATGTACATCAGAGAAAAATACCTGAAGTGCTCACTCATAAAAATGAAACAGGTTCCTAGATTTTTTTATGTCTTTAAATAATTCATTCAGAAACTGCAGCTTAAAATGGTAGCTAAGACAGTTTTAATTTACATATTTTAAATATGCAGCTAAGTGTACTTTAATTCTACCTAAATAAAGCTGGGTAAGACAAATAGAGAAGTCGCTATTGCCACAACCTCGCTTACCGTGCTTTGTTTCACCCGCTGGTGAGGAGAGTTGAAGAGGAAGGTTCCAAAGAGGGAGATGCGGGTGCTGTCGTACAGCACTGCTAAGTACGTCTCCGAGAACTCGAAGGCCGCCGGGTACTGTTCCAGGAGCTGCCACGTGGCATCCAAGAACAGCAAAAATAAGGGAGACTGGCAGACACAGACAGAAAATGGGAACATTTAATGTTGTCCTTCAGTTGTTCCCATTTATTTCCAAATTCATGGCTCATGTTAAGGAAGAGACTACTAAGAAAACATCGTAGCTGAAACACTTGGCTCCTAACCGGAGCCAAGGATATGCGAACAGATTAAACACGGCTTATGTCAAAGCTCAGAAGTAGGTTCAACGGCCATGAACATCACAGCCCTTGCTTGCCAAAGAAGCCTATCAAGTTGAAATGGCAAAGTCAACAGGCAGGTGTCACTGTATGAACGGGGGACACTAAAAGATGTGATTAAGTCTGTCCTGGAAATAATTCTTTAGAACACGGAAAAAAAGAAAAAATAATCCCAAAGCAAAAAACGACTTCTGTAATTCACTTCTGGTGGACTGTGCAGGCTCAGCATCCAGAAAACTCCCCAGAGTTTCAGGAAGCGGTTGGCATTAGCCTCTAGGTCACATGGTGGATCCCCAAGTACAGCAGCTGATGACAGCGACTTTATCTTGGGAATCCCGGCAATTTAAAAGTGAAGTAGTCACTGCTGAGATTTCCTCAGATGGTGCAGCTTGTTGTTAAACGTGAGACCCTACGAGTCAGACTGTGCCCTCTGAAACAAGCACGTCCGGGAGAGGCTTGTTCACAGCTTTCTCATCTCTGCACCCAAGGTGGCCGCTATACCCACAGCGGGGGGTTACAAAGACATCCCTCTCCAACTTTGCATTCTCCACGTGTGCCCCATTTTAAGGAAATGTGATATTCCAAAACTGATTTTTCAAAATACCAATGTGCTTGTTATCTGCTTTGCAGAAGAGATAATACAGCATTTTTCAACTAGTTTTCAACTTGGAGAAATGCAACAATTTTTTTTTGAGTTTTACCTGTATAGTTACAATCATCTTCGTAAGTGCATCAATTTGGATGCTAATCCATCGTTAGTCTTAGACTAAAGAAGCTAAGGGGCACCAAATGCAATATTTATAAAGGCTCCTCGTCTCTTTACAGACAGAACACCTCTTCACACAATGACATGAGTTTTATCTTGTGCACACCTAAAGGCTCCCTCCCAATGAGCATTACGATTCCCTTACCTCTTTCTCGGATCTCTTTAAGTGGTTGCATCTGTCTAGGAACTGATATCCGGCCATGACCCACTCCTTCTGGATCAGACTCTGAAATCCTGTAATTGTCCTAAAATGGGGATCCAGCATCACTTGAACAAGAGAAGCTACAATACAGCTCAAGTCTCTTCCCTCCTCCTCTGCCAAGAAAATGGAAAGAAAATGACTACTACAGAGAAAAATGCTGACAGAGAGGGTAAAGTGGATAATACAGTACTCTGTGCTTAGGCTCCTTCAAAACAATCCAAGTTAGGAAAGTTCACTGGATTCCAGCAACTCTGAAACACTACAGACTTTCAGATCAATTAGTGTTTAATGGGAGATAGTCTTTTATACATGAATATTTTCCAGAAAATAGAGCAGAGCCCTCACACTTTTTACATTTCAGTGGTTTGTGGTGGAACGCTTTTCCTGAGTCCATTCTACTTCTGTTTCCTAAGAATATTAAATATAATGTAATCTTTCTACTGGCAACTCCACACGGTGACTCAGAAGTGAATGAGGGGGATAGGACTGCCCACCATCATCTGAAAAGGTGGCAAACATTTTCCTCCCATCTTTTATAGCTGATGTCCTTTTCAATAATGCCAGTAAATATCCTGATATCAAAGCCAGCCGAGGAAATAAAAACTGTCCACCAGTATCCCTTGTAATTAGATTATAAAATCATCAACAAAATATGAGCAAATCAAATTATCTCATGAACACAAGATTTATTCCCAGAATGCAAGGTTGGTTTAACATCTATCTAACAATCAAAGTAACACTTCATATAAATAAAATAAATGATAGAAATAACATAATCATCTCATTAGATGCATAAAAATCATCTACGTGATATTCCAAGTTCTTTCTGGATGAAAACTCTCAGCAAACCAGGAATATAGGAGGGTCCTTCAACCTGATAAGAGGAATCTATGAAAACCTGCAACCAACGTCATTCTTTAAGGACAGTAACTCCTAGAACTGAGCAATGCCACTTCTAAGCACCTCCCCACAAGAAAGAAACACGTATGTCCCCATGAAGACTTTTACATGAATGTTCACAGCAGCATAATTCGTAATAGCCACAACATGGAAACAACCCCATGTCCATCAATAACTGAATGTATAAATAAAATATGGTATTGACAAAGGAGTACTACTCAGAAATAAAAAGAAACAAGCTGCTGATACATGCTACATGAATGAACCTGAAAATCATGTATGTTAAATGAAAGAAGCAAGAAGCAACAGATCACATACTATATGAGTCTGTTTGTATGAGACATCCAGAAAGAGCGAATCTACAGGGACAGAAAGCACATTAGTGGCTGTCTGGGGCTGGGACACAAGGAATCTTTTCGGTGTGATAAAAAATTTCTAGAACTGGACTCTGAACTCTACATGTACTCTGTATATTTACTAAAAATTATTGATTCCCACACTCAGAATGGGTGAATTATACAATATGTGAATTCTACCTCAAAAAACTATTTCAAAAACAGGTTCTAAAAGAAAGTGTTAGTAAAATGCAGCCTCAGGATCTCCTCTAAGCCTTTTGTATTATAACAAATGCTTCAAGACATGTGCAAAGTAGGATTTTGCAATAGGATGAGAACACCCACTGGCTGAGAGGAGAGATGACTGGGTTGCTGGGCTCTGCATGCATTTGTGAATTAAATAACACTGATTGCATCAGTTAAGGATTACTTGAAATAGTGCATCATTATTCTTTTCTCCCCCTAAGGGTTTTAAGTATCTTTTACTTGCTCAAGTCAGTTAAATTCGACAGTTGGTAAAAATACTTCTGTAAGCTTCAGTAGCGTAGCATATTCATATACTATGCCATGTGAATATATCATAAAATAAGGTAGTTCATGGTTTATGAAACTTTATCATCAGTAAGCTTAGAAATTCTCTTAGCTGTAAAGTTATTTCACATGTAATTATCCTCTACTTAACTGAAATATTTTTATATTGCATGATTTACTCCCTCCCTAAACATCAGACAAAATTCACAGTAGCTATTCAACTCAATTTTTTGATACCAAACTATTTCTTTAGAGTCCAATGCAGTGTGATCCAAAGGCATATAAACTAAAATTTGTATGAATTTGAAACGTAGCAAGGTTAGAGAGAAAGGATACTCTGCCAAGATTAACACTTTGTACGACTCCAATGGAGCTGTGACCCACCCTTCTCACGCTACAGGAAGGAAGGTTTAACACCGGGCACAAAACTGGACTCCGTTCTAGTCTCCCGCCTGCAGCCGTTAGCAGTGCTGTCCTCAACGGAGGTGCGGAAGCTATAATGGGTCTGGTGGCACCGTCATCAGTAAGAGACGGCCAGGAGTCGTGTGACTGACTGGAATGCAACAGTCACCAAGCTGCCTGGCGTGGTGACCAGTGTTTTCAGTAACGAATTACCTTGTAGGATGACGGAGAGATGCCGGCTTTCTAGAATGTACACGAGCTCTGCTGAATGTTTAAGGAATGCCCTGAAAAGAGAAAGGGGAAAAATACTGTTTAAAAAAAATCAGATTTCCACTATAAATATTCCTTTCGAAGTACTTGAAATCAAACACACCTAATCTTTCACTATATTGTATTCTCAATAACCTTTATGAATTTCATCAGTATCTATGCGACTCTTCAACAGAGTACATTTTGATTTTTATATCAGGGAAGTTCATGAACTCTTTTATCAAAAGGGGAGTGATTTACATGACGTTCTTGAAATCATAATCACAAAACACAGAGATGGAGCAGAGATCAGTGGTTGCCAAGGGGCCGGGGTGGAGATGCGACTCTGAAGGGGCAGCATGGAGGGCCCTGTGGTGACAGAGGAGTTCTCCATCGTGACCGTGGTGGTGGCTGCACGATCTATATGCGCAAAAATGCACAGAACGCCACACACACACACACACACACACGAAAACACGTACAAATGCGTGAAATCTGAATAAGGTCTATATATTGTACGACTTGGGGTTCTGTTTTGTTGCTTAAGATTTTTTTTTTTTTTTAATATTTTATTTATTTGACAGAGAGAGAGAGAGCGAGAGCAGGAACACAAGCACGGGGAGTGGGAGAGGGAGAAGCAGGCTTCCTGCTGAGCAGGGAGCCCGATGTGGGACTCGATCCCAGGACCCTGGGATCATGACCTGAGCCGAAGGCAGACGCTTAACCGACTGAGCCACCCAGGCGCCCCTATACCACTTGGTTTTGATGCCATATTCTAGTTATGGAAGACGTTACCACTGGGAGAAGCTGGTGGGGAGTACATGGAGCGCTGTACTGTTTTGTACCTCCCGTGAGTCTGTAATCATTTCAAAATAAAAAAAAGTTAAGGAAAAAAAACAGGAAAGTAGTTGTACAAACCTTACATATTCTAACCACCGAGTATTTTCCAGTGAAGACAACCATTTTTCTTCAGTTTCTTCAAAAGGCTCTGCAATAAATATGCCAATTACATATACATACACACACACATACAACGTATGTATACACACGTTTAGGCTTTTTAAACAATCTGATGTGGTCACGTTTTAAGTGATACACGTCACAGATTTTCCATATTTAAAAGTTGGCTTTAAAAAAGTATTACGCATTTTCATGTAACAATATAAACATGAAGAGACATGTTATGATTCTATAAAAAACAAAACAAGGACTCCCCTGGGCCTTGGTTTCCTTCACTCTGGCTCTCAGGGAAGTCCCGGAGAGTCTCAGCACCTCTGCCTCCTAAGACCCAGTGGCTCCCGCTTTCCTGGTGAGCCCATGCCTGGGTTCTGGAGCCCCCACTCACAGCTTCCTGCCTGCAAGCCCTGCCCTCCCAGCTTCTCTCCCCCTCCCCTGCTGCCCGCACTGCCTCCTGCACATGGTTTCCGTGACCACGGCCGGAATGAGGGCACCTTCCCGGCAGGGACTGCATGCCCTCCCCAGTCCTGCCTGGCCTGTCTCAAGGTGTCTCTTGCCTCACGAACTCAGGCTCCAGTCACATTCCACTTACCAGACAGCTGATAATCATTCATGTTGCTGTACTTTTTTAACACCCCCCACCCCAGCTCTCCTTCCAGGCCAGCGCCCCTTCGTTGTTGCAGACCCACCCCAGTGACCGCCTCTCCTGGCTCCTGCGTAATGGGAGGCTCTGGGTGCCCTTCAGGGAGGACTCACTTCTCGCCAAAGATGCTTTTGTGTGAGTCACCCCCACCCCGGGACACACTGAAAGCACCCGAGAAGCACCTGCTCAAACACACGATTAGAACTCCAAGGCCGCACAGATTACAACACGGCTGTGTCTGAAATCCGTGTCAGGTCCTGCATCTCAAAACGCAACTGTCTGCATTAGAATCTTAATACGTTTGTCCGTAAGGTAGCTCGTCGTTCTCTTGGCACTTTTACAAAAGGATCCTACCACAACAGTTCATGCTTTGAAAGTGATTTCACTGGTTTCTTTCTTTCCTCCAAAACAAAAAGCAGTTTAAACTTCATTTTCTGAGAGCTTCTGATATTGTCACATACAATAATTTGTACAGATATTTCAATGAGCCTCTACCTAAATATATTTCTATATTTTCAAGGAATGTCACTTTTTCTGACATACCTCATGCAATGCTGTATCCCCAGTTCACTATATACATACACACACACACACACACAGATAAAAATGAAATTACCATTAACGCATAGTTGCTTAAGTTTCACAAAAGCCGCCTGTATTTCTTGGATATTGGGCAAGGTCTTATCCAAATCTGATTTGTAAACATCACTTCTCTGTGGATGACTTTTAGTAATTGCATTACAAATCCTAATAAAGACAAAATCCTTGAGTCATTCATTCATGCCACACATATTTTTTGAAGATCTATTATGGGCTAAGGCACCACTCTAAGAGCTGGAGAGAGATGAACAAGACCGGTGGGGCCTCTGTTCTCACGGCACTTCCGAGCTTGGTGGTGGGAGGGTAGATGAGAAAGTCACAGGCTGGCGTGAATGCCATGGTGGCACCACCGGAGTGGAAGCAGGCTAGTTCAAGTCACGTGGCTGGGAAGGCTTTTCTGTAAAAACAACACTGAAGCCAAAACCCAAATGCCTAGGAGCCATGCAAGATCTGTGGGTAAGTGTTCTAAACGCAGAGGGACAGTAAGGGCAAAGGTCCTGTGATGGACCCAAGCTTGGCTGTGGAGAAACCTAGAGAAGGCCAGTGGGGCTGAGCTGATGTGTCTACGGAGAAAGGCCTGGACAGAGCTTGGACAACGCAGAGAACGTGTCTTACTTAGGAAGGGTGGGACAGCTGGAAAAACAAAGGAATTAAAACAATTCGCAGCTTAATAAAGTTAAAAGACGAAACGTGCCACTGGCTGTGAGGGTCCAGAATGAACTCTGGCCCAGCAGCGCCCCTGACACGGCAGCCAACACTGGCCTCAGAGCGCGACACGACACACAGGTCAGTTTCAACGTGACCGAGGTAAAAACTCCATCAGAGATTACATGAAGCCCGTCACTGTCCTTTCCAGAACCCTGAAGGCTCGTTTGCAGGTCACTTGCCAGCTATTTGCTTCAGCAAACATGGCTTTCTTAGGTATGGCAGTGTGGAAAACACCCTAAGACCTGGCTACACCCATAACAGGGTGTGATATACAATTTGAGGCTCTCTGAGCCAGTTTTCTAAGATCTGCTCCTTTGTTCCTCATTTATAGAGTACTGAACAAGTATCCGATATGGCAGGTATTTCCTGAGTGCTGAATGAACAATGGTGTGCAAAATGTAATCCCTTCAGCTCACGAGCTCACAGCCTAGTAGCAAAGACAGGCAGTAATCAAACTAACACACATATACAATTAAAAACCGAAATCAGTGTTCTGAAGAGAACCGAGAGCGCCATGGAGAATGGGTAACTTGAGGCCTGATCTAATCTGGCAGGTGAGGGAAAGCTTATCTTCAGGAGTGATTTTGGAATGGAGATATAAAGGATGAGTGAGCACCAAGTCGGTGGGGTAGAGAGTACTCGAAGAAAGGCAGCCCGGAAGGGAACAGCACCGGCGAACGTCAGGAGGTGGGAAAGCCCCGGGCACAGTCCTCGGGGCCAGGGCCCAGAGCAACACGTGTGGTACTGGATGAGACACGGAAGGAAGACATGAGGACACCTGACAACACACTGCGGGGGTGGAGCTGGGGTGGACACACATGGGTCTGTAAGATTTTGAGAGAGTGAAGTGACAGAAGCTGATGATGGACTGAACGTGGGGAAGGAAGCGAAAGTAAGGACTCCTGGGTTTCTGAGAGCAGGCTGGGAGAGGGCGTGGTGCCCATATGCTGGAGTCTGGGTTTGGACATCATGAGTTTAAAGGGCCTTTGAGACTTCCACGGAAGATGTCCCATTAGAGATAAAAATTTGATGGTCACTAAAGCCACAGCCACAGATGAACTTCTTTAGGAAGGAAATACAGACTGGGAAGCAGTGGCCTCAGACAGATTCTAGGTCATGTTTGCAAAGAGCCAGGGCTGCAGAGGGCACAGAGCACCGGTGAGAAAGAGGGGCTGCAGGAGAGTGGGAAGGAGCAGGCGCCTAGGACTCAGAGCGCTTTAGGGACAGACAGACCAGCAGTGATGCCCGCCAACTGCCGAATGCCTACTGCTTTAACAACACAGAGATTACTGGTGACTTCAGCAGATGATGCCAAACTTGTTTGTGGTAGCTAATTAAAACCACCATCTAAGCTACTGTGACTCTAAGACTTAAAACACACTGAACTAATAGAAAAGTCTGATTTATCCTGAAATAGCTCAACTGGAAATCACTGCACTTTGGAAGTATGTTAAAGGTGACACTGCTACAGTAAGATGTCAGCAATGTGAAGATCCTCCAGGGTCTTTTTTTTTTTTTTTAAGATTTTATTTATTTGAGAGAAAGAGAGAGAGAGAGCAGGGCGACGGGTAGAGGGAGAGGGAGAAGCAGGCTTCCCACTGAGCAGAGAGCCCGATGTGGGGCTCGATCCCAGGACCCTGGGATCATGTCCTGAGCCGAAGGCAGACACTTAACCGATTGAGCCACACCTGGGTGGTGTGGCTCAAAGCCAAAGAGTTAAATTATATTTAGTATAACTTAAATGTTAATTTTAATATATGTACATTTTTTTCAAAATGGTAATTCTTATATAGAATACATGGTGCTAACTAATTAATAAAACTATGCCGTTTTCCAACTATTTTCAAGCAGTCAGGAGTCTACTCATTTATGACAACTAAAAATGTCCAAAGGAACAACAGCCACGTCTTGGTTACCTCTGGTCAATTTTCCTCTGTTGCAGCACGTCTTTTATGAGGGCCATTCGCACAAGAGCACTGCCATTAGAGTGGCTCCAGCACCAGAGCTAGGAGGGAAGCAGAGCCTTTACTTGACTGGGAGAAGAAAAGGACATCGATGTGAATGAAATCCGACAGACATCACTTACTGGCATCCTTCTTCCAACAAAAGAATGGGAAAAGATCTTCAGGTCTTGGTCTGCTAAAGAACTTGGCACTACAAAGTATTCTGGAAGGCTGGAGAGGAAAAAGCAAACCGTTCCTGTGCTTTAGGCAGGTAAGTGTGCTTTGCAGATCCCATATACACACAATTTACCCCCATTTAATGTGTACCCTCCTTGGCGGCCACATGGCATCTACCATGGAAGACAAGGTTGACCCTAGACATCTCTGTCTAAAACCTGTATCATTTGGTCAATTATCACAAAACTTATAATTATAGCAGAGGAAAACATCCAAAGGAAATGTCTGAAATATTCTCCAAAGTGATTTTTAATCAAAGATGTATGCAGTTTCTGAAAAACATATCCACCTTTGTTCTCTACGGGTAAGGACAAACGGCACACAAGACAAAACCAAACCAGACCCACAAATCCCAGGAGCCTTAGTTCCTTAGCTCCCTCTTCTAACTGTTCTCATCCCCAGAAGACACCCAGACTCCAGGACGCCGCCAGGACAGCGATTCCTAGTGGGCAGGCTCCCTGTGCCGTAACACATCTTCCTCTCTCTCTTCTCCCCTTATCTTTAAAATATTCGTGAAAGCACTATTAAAAACAAATATTCCACTCACGGTAACGTGCAAGTTATCAGAGAGCAGAGTTTGATTCTTATTCACAAGGTTGTTCAAACGGGACTTACCAGGTGGATATCATGTAACCCTCGTTAATGGAACAAACTCTCCATCCAGAAGCACCTGTCCTCTTCATTTCTCGGTCCCAGTCTGAGTACGTTTCGAAGAGCGGAGTGTGGACGCTGCCACCACCAGTCCCCCGGCCACCTCCTGAGGGTATTCCATTAATATTACTGGCTACGAGAAAAAGCAGTAGTATTAGTTTTGTTTCAAGGTCACATTTCGCCCCACATGCCCTCTCCTGTCTTGGCGCCTCCTGTCAGGAACACACTCGGATGGGACGTCTCCTCCCTGCGTGTCTTTCCAGTCTCCCTCAGATGTTCCGACTGCTCCCAACGGTCCTGAGAAAGAGGCGGCCTCCTCTTGTCAGAACTCATCTTGTCTCGTCCTCATCCAGCTCTTCCCTGGCTCCTCCAGCACCGTTAACTTCTCTCTCCTTCTACTGGCTCTCTCTTGTCTACCCTCAAACACAAACAGGTCACCTTGATTTTGAAAAGACTTTCATCTGACCAAGCTGCACCACTCCAGCTACTGTGCTACATATATATACATTTTCCCCTCCTCCCTGTTACTGCCCATCTTCCCAAAATGATGAACAATGCCTGCTGCCCAGATTTTCTCCTTTTCCATGACCTTCCATCCCTACCACTCCACGGAAGCCACTCACGAGCCTCCCTCATTCCCCCTGCCCTAAACCGTGGGGTAAATTCAAATCACTGTTCATTTTTTCCACACGTTTTGCCTGGAACAATGAATGCATCCAATCATGTCTGTTCTCGACCAAATCTTTCATCCTTCTAATATTGACACCCCACTCTTTTCTACGGCTCATTATAAAATTCTTGGTCTCCTGTATCTACTCAATTTTCCTTTGATAAGCTCACAAGCGTTCCTTGTACTCCACCAGAGGGCCACTCCCACCTGGGGATTTCAGCAGAGGGCCTACACTTGAATTTCCTTAGCAAGGAGCCCTCTCTCATTGAGAACTGCTGTCCTCTGGGAGATGCCCCCAGCCTCAGGAAGGCCAGCAGAGTGACCAGAGGGAAAGAGAGCGTCTCAGCAGCCAGCCTGCTCTACCCTGGCAAACTGGGGTGACAGACGGCACAATCTTTCCCGGTCCCGTGTCTTATCGCTACAGGCTGCAACCGTGGTGGCAGGTCTCCGGCCTGACATCCCTGACACGACGTTCTGCAGCACTCAAACCAGCCTGCAGCCTGCTACAGGACACAATGCCCCAAAATCATGCTTTCATGATGTTTTACCCTTGTCCCAAACTTTCCCTCATGCTCATTTTCCAACTTCCTGGAGCAAAACAATTTTGCTTATAAATCTCTTAATCAACCTGACCTTTCATTACTGCCTTAACCCCATGCTCCCCCATAGCCACAGAAACCCCTTCATTGTCCCACGAACATGCCATGCCAACTTCTGTGGACCATTTATTAACACCTGGTGCAAGACAGGTATTTTTGGAGAGCCTCCCATGTGCTAAGGCCTGAAAATTAAAAAATGAGTAAGGTTTTATCTGTATCTTGAAAGCACCAACAAGACAGTGGAGGGTAAGCTCAGCCCCAGTCACAGTGAGCTGGATGTACAAGCGCCATGAGAGCGCTCATTGGAGATGGAGGCTGGGGCAGGAGAGGCCTCAGGACCTGACCACACCTGAACAGAGACCTAAGGAATGAGCCAAATGTTGCCACGTGGCTGGTGAGATGAGAAGGAGGTAGGCATGCTGGGCAGAGCAGAACATAAAAAACACGGTATAACTGTGTAACAAGTAATGAGATACAGCTAGAGCACAAGGGATGCAACGGATGGTGGGAGAGAGGCTGGAAAATGAGGTGGGGCCAAGACCCTTGGTCTCTGCTGCTCAAACAGTAGCCACTAGTCACACGTGTGATTTAAATCGAAACAAAATAAAATAAAATAAAAAAGTGCAGGTCCTCAGTTGTACCAGCCACATTTCCAGTGCTCAACAGCCGCATGTGGCTAGTGGGTCCTATACCAGACAATGCAGAGGAGAGAACATTTCCCTCCCTGGACAGTGCTACTCTAGATTAGAAAGGGTCTTAGGCACCATGCTAGGAATTCTGAATTTTATACTTTAGGTGGCATCAGAATTACCCAGTGATTCTGATTCTAGTTTCAGCAGAGCTTGTTTAATAGTAAAAGGCTAAAGCTAAGCACATATCCTGGAGTGCCATTCCATCTCTAAGCCTTCTCCAGAGTAGCTACACTTGAGAGCTGTAATCTCTCCAGGATGAAGAACCTTCCTGGAATGTCCAGGCAACTGTCACTTCACACACAGTGATCCAGAACACCAAAAACCCCAGAAAGCTATTCAACATTAGAAAATATAAGTAATTCATCATATGATCAAATTAAAGGGGAAAAAAACACCCCATATGATCAGTTCAAAGTGCAGAAAAATATTTGATCAAGTTCAACACCTACTCATAATTTAAAAAAACAAACTTCAGTAAACTGGGAATAAAAGAGAAATTCCTTACTTGATAAAGGATAATTACCAGAAACACACAGTAAACATCATCCTCATCAAAATCCGGAAGAGAAATGATGCCTGCTATCCTGGTTACTATTCAACATTGTACCAGAGGTCCTTGCCGCGCAATGAGACAACCACCACCAAAAAAGAAGTATAAAGAGCACATTCACCATTATTAAAGAGCTGTGTAAATAGTTTGGCAGGATACCCTCAGCTAGAAGGCTAGAACTGAATACTTTTGAGTGTTTTGAAGTTACAGACTTTAGTAAGCTAGGCTGAGAACATACAGTTTGAGACTGTTTCTCTAGCCAAGATTTAGTCTCAAGATCTAACCACAAAAAGACAAATTTTCTGAACATCAGGTGAGGAAAAACTACAGGATATTGCACTATTTTACTATTTTACAGGTTTTGGTTGTCCATTTCTCAACAACCAGGACTAGGTTATATATTCTATATCGTCTTCAGTGAGAGCTTATTAGAGAATGTGTAACAGATACTTCATCTGGCATTAGAGAGTCTGGAAATTCTAATGCTTTCCAGAAAGTCCCAAAGGCCTGATGCCTGTGGCCTGCTCTACAAGTGGATTACTAACAGGTGCAGCAACAGACTGGCAAAATCAGTCATCTTAGGAAGATCCAGCTTTCCTGAGAGTTATCTGAGGTTTTAGGACAGCTCCTCAGCCAACTAAACGTGAAAACTAGATCATAAGCACTCCTGACCTTGGCTATCTTCTTCTTCTTCTTCTTCTTTTTTTAGATTTATTTATTTGTCTGACAGAGAGCAAGAGTGAGTGAGAGAGCACGTGCACACGTGCGCATAAGTGGGGGAGGGGGAGGGCAGGGGAGAGCAAGTCCTCAAACAGACTTCCCACTGAGCACGGAGCCCAACACACAGCTTGATCCCTGCCTGGACCCTGAGAGCACGACCTGAACTGAAATCAGGAGTATTTGAATGCACTCAACCGACTGAGCCACCCAGGCGCCCCACCCTGGCTATCTTCTGTGACACAGTTCAGAAGTCTAATCCCATGCCGTGCTGAAGTTATCCACTTAACTAGCCCCATCTATATTTAAAGAATGGCCTCCAACAGCAAAGACAATAAAAGTGGTCAACAAACGAGAAGAAAGCCTATCGCTTTGATGATACTGCAGAAATCAAGTCATAACGGATGACAAGGGTAAATACAAAGCTGTGATGTTCAGTTCAACAGGGTGAGTCAACGAAGTGGTTCTAACCGGGAGACTTGGACTTTGGGCCTGGGGAAGAGCTGGGATGGCTGCATTTCTAAAAGTTCCTCCGGGGATTCTGATACAGGAGGCTGGTTGGGAACCACCAGTATTCAAGAGACCCAAGGATCAATCACAACCATGTCTAGCTATACTTGAGAATCTTAAAAGAACTGACAGGCAACAAACCTTAAAAATTTCTACAGTTTCAAATCGACTATGTACTCTGTAAGTGGTTTTCAAATAAGCATTTAATGGAAAATCTAATACCAAGGCCTTTTGTTAATAAAAAGGATAATATTACAAAATAAACCACTGAAAATGCCCATTTTCTGTCATGAGACTACATGACAACTTGAGATTACATCACAGCATTTGCAAGCTCAATGTCTGTCATGGAGTAGAGCTGCTAACACTGAGGCTGCAGATAACTTCATGAGGTTGTCTTTTCTTTCTTTTTTGGGGGGGAGGGGCAGTGGAAGAGGGAGACAGAGAATCTTACGCAGGTTCCACGCCCAGGGCAGAGCCTGATGCGGGGCTCGCGATCTCACCATGCTGAGATCATGACCTGAGCGGAAAATCAAGAGTAGACACTTAACTGACTGAGCCCCCCAGGCGCCCCAACTTCATGAGGTTTTCAGTTCTTCAGACTGGAAGCATAATCTGACATCTTATCAATTTTATCACAAAGATCAGTCTGTACTTTTGTGACATTATTTGCCCAATAATAACCTGACTGAGGAAAGCAGAGTCCTTGTGGTTTCTTTCAAGTTTTAAGAAAAAAACCAGAACCACTGTGCTTGTCTGTGCCAGCACCCCCTGAGGGGCTCCGCGCCTGGGGCCCCAGTGCTATGCACCGCCCCTTTACTTCGGGATCCTCACAGAAGTACTTGGATGACTGGTGAGCTCTGCAGAGATGGTGTTCTCACTCAAGGGATGCCGAACACGGAAGAAACCCTCAGAGTGCCTAAGGCCATCTCAAAGATTCTTTCCCTAGATAACTGCAGGGGACATCCTCTAACTTCAGATCTTATTCGTGGAAACAGCTTTGTCACCTACCTGCCTGCAAAAAGGACTTCTTTATTCTTTAATCCAGCCAATGAATCAAGGTGGCATCCAGAAGTTCAAGAGTGGATTATTGGGCATCTTTCACTCACAAATTAATGAATTCTGACTGCAGTGTGTGGACAGTTCAGGCTTCTTTTGATCTTAAGGATGCAGTTTATGCTTCTGCAACAGCACGGAAGGATATTAAAGGGTGTTACCCTAGGAGGAATCTTAACAAAACTCTGGCCAAGTGTTATGTTTATGAAGTACCTATCAAAGCAAGAGGTGACTGAAGGATGTAATAAAAAAAAGTGTTCCTGAATATTTTAAGTATTATCAAATTTTATCAACAAGCTACATATAAGAAGACATAGAGAACTGATTGATGTAAATAAGAAAACCCAGTAGTAGAAGAGCTATGGGTAGAATAACTATTTGCAGTATTATTGACCCAGAGATGTCCATAAGGAATGGATGAAGAAAACTAAAAAGTTAACTAGAGGAGGCATCAGGTTCCCAAACGCATAATGAAGTTTACTGCATTTGCTGAGCTCAGGTCATTACATTACTGCGGAAATCATATCTATATCCTGGATGGAATCATTTCTATTAGAAAAAAAATAGCATCAAGAATTGATCTGTATAATAAATTTAAGGGGGAATCAAAGACTCTTACAACTCTTGGACCTCTTGAAACTTTCATTTCAGCTACTCTCTTGCAAGTGTGGGTGAGGATCTTATTGAAAATAACCTTGATGATCATGGTCTGTAGCTTGATGATGATCCAAAGAAATAGTCACCTAATGAGTAGTGCAGGATCTACAATACTTTTATGTTTAGACAGTAAATTTTATAATTTATATTAAGAAATAAACTTCAAAAATTATTTTGCTCAAGCCTAAGTTACAACTGGTTACATTTTGGTAAGATTAAGTCACAAATACTTTGTCTTCCAATTTCTATAAATACAGCACTGTATGATAAAAGCTACTCCTTCTGCAAAGCATGACTTTCACATACCATCTCTATGGTGTTTACAAGTATCTTTTAAAGGAGTGAAAATACACTTATACCATATGCATCTGCAGATACTCTGTATTATTCCTACATCTTAATGAATGTATTTACAATATAGTGATACTCAAATATGCTTTTATTTCATAGACTAAATTACTACAGTATGTTTTGAGATAATAAAACGAAAGCCCAGTACAATTAATAATTTGCAAGATCCCTGTTCAGACCATGTTGGAGTGAACTGATCTTTCCTCGTAAATACGTAATTGATTTATTTTTCTGCCTTAATAGTGGGAGAACACGTGCCTTAGTAGGCTGAGTCGATGTGTGGTCCCTAATCCACAAGTGGCTAGTATGAGACATGACCCCTTTGTTTTTCTCCTCTATCCTTTTGAGATTTTTTTTAAATGGCTGATTAAAATTACATTTGGATATAAGAAATGTACAGAATCACATGATCATCTGGAATTTTCCTTGGTGATGTCATCACTGAGTCATTACATATTCAGTAAACATATGAACAGTACTACTTTACTTTTACAAAAACTGCCTAGAATATACTTGTCCTTTGGACAGACAGTCCTCTTCCTTTCATCAATCTTATTAAGAAATATAAAGTCAGTATTTTGATGATCTCAATGATCTCTCCACTAAAACGTTTGACCACTTTAGCTTTTGCATGAAATCACACCATGTCAGAAAAGATCATGCATTTCAAGTATCTTTTAATTTTCTGTCAGTTTTGTTTAAAAGATGAGATTATTTCAACTCAAGCTATCAATTAAAAGTGGGAGGAGGGGGATCTTTCTTCACCATAAAATATAAGCCAGGGACCATAGGTAAAAGATCTGACAGGATTTTTTTTTTTTTTTTTAAGATTTTGTTTATTTGACAGAGAGAGACAAAGCGAGAGAGGGAACACAAGCAGGGGGAGTGGGAGGGAGAAGCAGGCTTCCCGCAGAGCAAGGAGCCCGATGTGGGACTCGATCCCAGGACCCTGGGATCATGACCTGAGCTGAAGGCAGATGCTTAATGACTGAGCCACCCAGGCGCCCCCTAGACCTCACATGATTCTTATAAGCCTATGTTTATAGCTGCTTACAGGTTCTTCCTGGTCCCTTTCTAAGAAATAATCTAACAAATATTGTCTCTTCTAGTATATAGTGCTTTCTTCTCTAGCAGTTATGAAGCTAATAATTCTACAATCATTAAAGCTCATGTACTTGAAAGCCTCTGATAAACATAAGAATAAAACTTAAACAATGTAAAGTTAGTCACAATATTTAATATTTTCATATTTACCTGAATTGTGGTATTTTTTCCCAACATATTCAAATGCAAAGAGTAGCTGGAGGTCTGTTGGCTGGGAATAATGAGCTATTGCAAGGCATACCTAGGAAAAATTCTACATTTAGAATTTGATTTTAACACACTTATTTAAATGAAATGTACAATAAGGCCTTGATTACTGGGAGCATCATCCTGGGTGGGCCAGTGATTATTATAGATACTTATTTACATGTTTTTTTCTGTTAAACCTAGAATGTGAAAGAGCTCCTTAAGGCCAGGTATCTCATTCATTGTTGTGCCCCCAGGACACTGTTTATAATCTTTAGGGAGTACATGGTATTTAGTAAGTGTTTGCTGAGTTGAATTTTAACAGGAAAGTAATTTTATTCAAATAAAGAAACTTGAAACCTAAAGAAACATTCTCCAAAAAGGCAGTGACGTGTGTGTGTGTGTGTGTGTGTGTGTGTATATACACACACACACACACACACACACACATATGCATTCCTAAAGAAAGGAATAAAAAAAAAGTTTCATTTCTGGTGGACTATAATGATTTAATACCAGCAATCTGGAAGGCTTAATGTAAGGTATGAAATTTTAATGTTCATACCTCATGGATTAAAAAAAAATCTAGACTTAATAGGAAAGCTACAATCACAAAAAGTGAAAATTAGCAAGAAACCCAAAAGTACAGGGTGGCTCAAAGAGGTACATTAAAAAAAATAATAATAAAAATAAAAATAAAAATAAAACAACTGTGTTTAAGAAAATGGTTTGAGACTACATCTAGGGTGGAGAAAGTGCTCAATTGAACAGATCAGGAATTGAATCCTATGGTCTACCAAACACTTGCCCTGTAAATGGTATGAAATCAGTTCATCTCTCTGAGCCTTGGTTTGTGCAACTGTAAAATGAAGATAATACCTATGGCTATGGTAAGGATTGTCTTAATGCATGCCTGGCCTCTGCAGAAGCTCCATACATGGAAATACGGTTGATATTATTCCCAACTGCTGTTGGAGAGAAGGATGGACAGTGCCCTATGTTGACAACGCCCTGGACTAGACTGCAGAAGAAAATACTCTTAAATGATTGGAGCAGAAAGAAGAAATTTAAGATATATGAAAGGAGAGAAGATCTTACTTAAAAAGATTAAATATCATTTAGAAGGAAAAGCATTAAGCCAGAACAATGTATTTTTGACAGTGAGCAAGCAGGAAAAGTTTAGTTAATTGTTAGTCCACGTCAATTAGTGGTGTTTGAGAGGGTTGGTGCAAATTCTACTAACGGGTAACTATGCGTCAAGTTCTTGTTTAAAATATATATTAAAAGTCTTCTATAGAATAAATGTTTCCTGTCTTACTAAATTAGAATATATATATACAAATAAGAGGACAGAGTTTATCACTAGTTTTAGTTTTGACTAAAAACAGTAACAAAAGATTCCTGAAACTTTTATGTAATACCTCAATTTAATTGACTACAAGGAAAGCTTTCCAGAACAGTCCCATTTACGTAATTAGGAGGCAGTAATCTACATTTCCATCCTTAATCTGTCCAAGTCTTCCTTAGAGAGCTGCTTCTAGTGGCAAAACTACTGAAATCTGTACTTGAAGAAGTCCTCGACCACTTCTTATTCCTCTCGGCACCATATGTAGTTTATAAGCTTTGTTGTACTTTCCTCAAGATTATCATTCATTTTTGTTCCATTTCTCTACCATTTCTGCACTACCACAGCCATATTCTTAAGCCATACTCACCTTTCGGCATCTCTTGTGAGCTTCCCTACATTTTGGGGAAAAAAAAAATCCACAATGCCTAAAAAGTCTCTTCTAAAAATGAAATTCTGACCAACAACACTGCTCCACAGATAACCTGCTGTGGTTCCCCGATATCTGCCTAATAAAAGAAATCTTCTCACTCCTGATTCTTCACCAAGCTGGCTCTCCTCTACCAGACATCCCTTCCTTTCCCAACGTTCCCTCAGTGGTCTTCTGTTAGAGAACAACATATTTGCACGTACTCTGCCTGCCTTACTCCCAGCCGCCTCCTCCGCCACACTCTGCCCGGGAAATCCTTCTGCACTGCGGAGCCAACCACGCTGTTTCTGCAAACTACCTGCTCTGTTCAACTCCAATCTCTTCACAGGCCCTCCTAGCCCGAGCCAATTTCACAGAACGAACTGCAGAAACCCTTCTGCTCTCTCTGAATCACAACCGCTCTGAATTAAAGGGTCCCTTCCGTTAGCTGTGCCTGTGTAGCTGAATGAGTTTCTGAGTATTCATGACACAGTTTTGAGTGTAGCTGAAAAGGGCACAGGGGTTCTTCATTTTACTTCCACCATTAAATTCAATCCCTCAAGGGGAGATGCTGCCTCTGTCATTCATTCGACAGGTATCTCCTGCGCATCCACCACATCCAAAGCACTGGGGCTGCAGCATGAACAACACAGGCGCAGATCCCTGGCATCATGAGGGGGGAAGACAGACATGAAACAAAATAAACAAGAAAACGATAGTAAGTGACATCATTGTAAGTGCTAAAGGAAAAAAAAAAGTCCAGCAGGGGAGGGATATGAAGTGTTATGGTGAGGCAGAGAAGGGAGTGGGTTAATAATTTAGAGAAGGAGACCAGGAAAGACCTCTCTGTGCAGAGCTGAGTGAAAACCTGAAGACTTCTGCATTTTTGCTTTTCCTCAGTAGCTTTCTGAAGGTGCTTTGTGCACAGCAGCAGCGGTGCTAAAAATACTAGTTGACAAAATTTACTAACATAGTAAGGAAAATGCTCTAAGCCAATGAAACGAGCATATCACGTTGTCTAACACATTTAGAAAGCAGCCCCAGGCCTTGTTTACACAAAAGAAATTCACAGATCATTATGGAGTATGTTGTTTATGGTCACAAAGCAAAAACAAACAAAGCCTATCTGCTAGGCAAACCCAACTGTAGCCCGTTTCTAAAAAGCCCTTTAGAATAGCACAGCACATTTACAAAGGTTAGGAAACAAATGAGTATGTCTAATAGCATCTCCATTGCAAGGAGACTGTAACAATCTTGTGAAACCGAAACTGTTCAATCACCTGCACAATGGCTGATGCGGGGGGGCACAAACTGAACTAAAGCTGCTGCTGAGTAGTGTAATTACAAGTGTGTATAACTTATTTCTATGTAACCTAAGCAAGGGGCATCTCTGGGGACCCAGATAAAGGCACACACCACTTGTGCTATCTGGGTTACATTCATGCTGTTATGTAGGACATTCTGAGAAGGGAAATAAAGCCAAGAATCCTTTCCCTCAAGCTTTTCCATACACACTCCTTAAAAAGCTTATGTCCACATTCTTAGCTTCTGTCACTAAGAGCTTGAAAGACTTAAAAAAGAAGGTCTCATTTTCATGTAAAATTATTCTAATTTTGCAATGTACTCCATAAGCATTAAAAATTTTTAGAAAAACTCTACATCTTTAAAAACTGCTTCTGAAAATAGTTCCTCTGCCCTGGCTGTCATAGGGAACAAAGACTATCTTGGGATTAAAGACATTAAATGATGGTAAATATTTCACCGGAGGAAAAAAAGTAAACTACTTCTGAAGTGATTTCTGGACCAAGAACAATCTTGTGGACAGAAGCCAGAAGTACCCACAGCTGGTTTCTCCTCTAAGACCAGCTGGGGGCGCAGCACTGGAGAAGCTCAAACTAACCAAGTTCTAGCACACTGGCAAACAAAACTGGTTTCCTGTATTTTGTGGTCTGAAAGTCACCAAGGAGTAAGTCTCAGAATCAAAGGGGGGAAAAAAAAGACAGTTCACAAAAAGCCAACTTATTCTTTAAATAGATGGGTTGAATTTTCACTTTGAGAAAGTATGCCTGACAAGTGGTTCACAATCAACTAATGTGAGAATAAAGTAGAAACAAAGGGCATACGTTTCACTTACCATCTTTATATATATGTACACACACACATATATATATTTTACAAGCGATAAATCATTAAAAACGATTTTGCCCCTCCATTTTGAACAGAGGTTCTTCAAAAGGAAAGGGTGGCTCCAAGTTGCTTTGAGGCTAGACATCCAATTCTGCAATATAAAATTCCTTCTTGCTTTTTACAGATCTGTCCCAAACATCCTTATTTGTGACAGACCAAGGATAAGGATGAATGCTAACGGATGCAGTAGCACAGTGTCATCTAATTTTGTCATAACACAATTTAGGCAACACCAACTAGACTACCAGAAGGTTACAGAGTAATATTTAACAAAATGTGAACCAATTTAGCATTTCGAGATTTCATATCTCAAACAGAAATATAAATGCTTTTGGTATTTCAAAGCTAATCAGTGGTTTACCCACCAGAGAGCTCTGAATGTGCATCTGGTCATTTTAAAACAACTTATAAAATCAGAGCATTTCCAGAGAAAATTTAGCTTTCAAATTTTCCGGGAGGTAAAATCAAGCTGTAACTTCCCAACTGTTACCTAATTTTAGATGAAAACTTTCACTTGAAATAAAAAAATATGCTAGAATTCTTGTTTTTAACTCATGAAGCCAGTAAGCTTTGGCAGCACACATGCCCTAACCTCTGTGTTTGAAATGTAAATCAGGGGAAAATTTCTCTATTTATATTCTTATTGCCTCTAATTTTCTTTCCTGCACCTGCCCCTCCCCACAACAGGGCTGTACAAAAGACAAAAAGAGCATTTCTTTCAGGCCTGAGCTTATATGCTTTTAATATTTTAAGACAGAGGCGAAAGGATTTGTGCCAGAAATCCAGTCTTGGGAAAGGGCATAAACAGTTGGACTACGCTGTTTCATGCAGACAGTTCAGTGCGGCCCCCTTCATCACTTACCAGCAGCACAACAGACAAGGGAGATCCTGAATTTCCAGAGCACTTAACTGTTTCATTCATTTGGCAACTAATCACTTACGTGGTAACATCTTTTATGCCACTACTTCGTACCACTGTTCAATTTTCATTTGTTCATGCTCTATCTTCTCCACTAAGCACACTGCCTCACACATTAAAAATGACCAGCAGGTGTTTATTAGAAGGCTCAAGAATGAAGCCAAATAATTATGATTTCCCATTACTGAAATAGAGTCATCTGAAAAATGTAGTTGAGAGTGGGAGAGAGGGAAACTTTCTGAAAGAATATTGGGCCACTGTATCAATTTCTTACTTTAAAAAAATCCTGTCCTAACTAAATCTCTTACGTTCTATGGTGTTTGTTATGGCATTCTTGAAATGCTATATATCCTGAAACTAAGATTTTCATAAGTAGATTCTTGATGTTTTGACTGATTAAAATACAAGTATATATTTAAGCTCAAGAAAGTAACTCAGCTAAAATGTTTTATATACAGCCTACGACCTAACAAGTCTTAAAGTCTTTCTATAGAAAAGTAGGCATCTCAAGTTAGTAAAACGCCAAAATCACAAATGGCAGAACTAAACAGATGAAAGGGGCCCACAAAACGTGAACCAACGAGTTACAGCTACCTAGCTGAATTTTCGGTAATGCAGCATGCCGAAAGATGGTTTTACAAACTCTACCTGAAAACTTTTAGCCAGAGAGCCCGCTATCACTCTGCTAGATCATCTAGTCCTCGAGGTCCAGCATGTTCAGATATTTATCTTATGCTTGCCTTCCTGTGAGGAAACTGTTGATTCTAAGTTCTAAAAATAAATCTACAATGTCCTCACCAAAGTGTAGGAAAACAGCTGCCTTAAGAATTTTTGAAGGCCTCATTTGGATATCAAAGAAAATTCACTGCAGTAAGTCTACTAGCCATGGAAACCAAATGCACCGGTGCATTCTGGGGTGGTGCAAAAGCTGACTCATTTCTGAGAGAAGGTTCCACTTCACTAAGAAACTGTTCCTTTACTTCCAATGTGTGGGAGCAGACTTCTAGAAAGTGTTAGATTCTCTGCATTTGCTGCATGAGAGACTGGACCAGTAGGGCAATAGGTCCACCAGCTTCATTCCTCTGCCAAAGCCAAAATGTGGGATCAAGGAAGTGGGAATTTCTGCCTGTGAATCTTACTCCACGAGCAGGCAATAAACATTCCCCGGAGGGCAGGAGAAAAACAAAGCCAATTAAAAAGTCCCTAGCTTTTAGCTGTTCCTGTGGAACAGCACTCAAATTAATTCACTAAGATTTCTTTAAAGCACTATTATTAGGCTGCTCCCGTAACTATACCTTTACTTAATCCTTATGTAACTTAAGTCTAACTTTTAGTTCATTGATGATGTTCTGAGGTATTTTCTAAAGTTCTAACCGAGAAAGAAACAAGCTGGTAATGGTCTAAATGCAAAAGACATACTAATTTCCACATCATAGTTTCTAGTATTGTAGGAGCTGATAAAAAAAAAAAAAACAAAAAACTAAAAACCTATATAGAATACTTTAAAGCAGCCATAAATTAGTCCAAGGAAATAGTTCTATTAACATTCTTAGCTTTTACTTTACCTAAGGAAATATCTGATGACTTCCCCCCCGCAAAAAATCTGAGCAACTGAGAAAAGAGAACTTCCATATAGAATTGATATTGGTAAATATAGTACGAAACCCAAAACTTGATAAAGCTTAATAGTATTACCTTTTTGGCACTTTCAGGACCTGATTCATCAAAGCGAAATCTGACAATTCTGAAATCTTTACAGTAAATAATTAACTCTGTTGGATTAAATTTCAGTTTCTGGTTGGGACCTAGGACTTTCTGCTTCCTCTTGTGGTCATTTACTAAAAATGAAAAAATAAAGAAAATATGTGTAAAAATTCTTTTTGTTACTCACTCTTTAGTATACCTTAATAAATTATTACTGTAAATAATTAGAAGGTTACCCACTGCTTCTCTGGAATCTTTCATATTTTCTACAATTTACAGAACTTGGAAAGGGGAGCGGTTTTAACTTTGCTTTTGACTATATTTTAAATGATCCTTGCACAAAATCACCACCATCTAGACACATTTAATGTCTTTTTTAATTAAAAAGAAGACAAATACTTAGAAAACATAAAAAGCTAAATATGCTATATTTCCATTTAAAAATAACTTACTGACTTCGGGGCACCTGAGTGGCTCAGTCGGTTGATGTCTGACTCTTGATTTCAGCTCAGGTCATGATCTCAGGGTCATGGGACTGAGCCCCCCGCGTCGGGCTTGGCACTCAACAGGGAGTCTGTTTAAGATTCTCTCTCTCCCTCTCCCTCTTCCCCTCCCCCTGCTCACACTTGCTCTCCCTCTCTAAAATAAATAAATGTTTAAAAAAATAATTTATTGACTTCTCTTTCATTAATATTCTTGGGACTCAAAAAAAAGGCGGGGGGGGGACATAAACCTACAGAAATAAAATTCCAACCCAAATATTTGAGAGGTGTGATTCTTCAAGCAATACTTCCTGAGGAGAATCAGCTTTTTATTGACTGAGTAAAGAATACTACATACCTGTGACAATTTGCTCAATACATGTTAAAGGTACATCATGTTCACCAAGAAGAAGGTTTCTGTAATGGAATTTCTGAAATAAAAATTATGTTCACGTTAAGTCTTTCCCCAACAACCTCAAAGGGTAAGTAAGAGACTTACTCTTACATGTGATAAGAAACTATGATGACTATCTCTAAAAAAGAATAAAAAGCTTTTGTCGCAGAACTATGACAGTTCTAAGGAGGGAGTATCTTAGAACACACTTCAGTCATGAAAAGGAAACAGAAACACATGCTGTGTTCACACTCTCTCCACCTTTCTCTCCATACTTTTAAATATGAAATGAGGTTAAATTGTATGCGATAATACCATTATAATATCCAAGATATGTAATATTATCAATCACTTCATAGGCAACCATTTGCAGTCTAGTTCTGGTTAAACCGTCAATAAAATAATAAAGAAAAAAAGACTCTTAAGTCATCAGATTTTAATGGGTAAAATCATGGCTTGATTTTACAAAGGAGATTTTAGAAAATCAGTCTTTAGAAAGTTAGTTTTTAGAGCAGAAATTCTACTAGAAATAAAAATCTTCAGGCAAACTACAGCTCTTTTTTTTTTTAATCTGTCAACAAACACTTTATACCCATTTTTAAACTGAGAACACAGTTGACACATTAACCTGCTGTCAGTAGAGTACTGGTTTATTTCCCCTATCAGTGGTATGAGACGTGAGTTCTTTTAAGTATATCCATCTCATTTACAGTGAAGTCTGCAGCCACAGATAAAAATGAAGCTAAAAACAAAGGGGAAAAACCCAAGTCTACAGCCAAATAAGTCAGTATGTCTACATACTAGGTATCTGTAAATGCCTTTAGTCTAAATATACCTACAATAGTTTGCAATAAACACACAAATGTAAAGTAAATATTTTGGTAAACTAATGAATGACCATATGAAATATATGTATCCGGAGTCAGACACTTCAGTCAAAAGTTTACATGAATTATCCAAATATTTGATTACAGCACAATTTCTATTTAAATAAAAACCTAGGGGATAAAAGTACATAACACTTTACAAACCAAAATAGAAGAGACAAGGAAAAGTCCAGAATTTTTAAGTTAATCAAAATGAATACCTGAACTTTTAGAAACCAAAATTAAACAGTACTACTGTTTTCCAGTGAGACCATAAAATGGCAAGAGGGTTATTAAAGAAAAATTTTATTAATATTCTTCATTCTAATTGTACTGGAAATTTGAAATTTCAAACAAGAATTTGAGGTTTCAGAAAAGGAATTAGTTAAAAATACTATGAAATCTATAAAACGTGCTGTGTTTATACAATTATTTGCTATACTTAAGCTTTTCTCTTTAGGACTAGTAAAAAAAAAAAGGATAGCTTCATTTTTAAAAGCAGTTTAAAATATGAAAATAGTCCATTATTGAAAGAATAAGCAAAAATCACAGGAGATAAAAAAGAAAGGTGACTCAAACATCTCACAAATTCTACTCCTTGAATCCCAACATCCTCCTTACACTTTATTTTGAAGTTTAATACATTCCCAACATTGTTAATCATGTAACAATTTTATTGTAATTTTCCATACCTGTGCTTTATGTAATTACATGTACTGCTTAGAGTCAAATCCTTGATACAATTAAACAGCACACAAATAACACACACCTGTAATGGCATCGGGTCATCCGTAATAAAGGAAATTTTGAAGTTACTGCATATCAGCTTTCCCCACAGATCGTACTGACTTGTGTCGGTTGCAATGCATTTTCTCACAAAATTGACTTCATTTACGACAATTTCTCCTTTTAAAAAAAGAAAAATATTGTGTGAGCTACAATTATACCATAAAATGTCTAGTCACCGTGTGGCCTACGAGGACTACTTCATGATGACAAGAGTTAAGAACAAACCCTGGAGGCCCACCAGGTGCCAGGCACCATGGGTGCTTTCATCCTCACAGCACTGGCAAGGCACTGCCCACAGAAACTGAGGCACGAAGAGCTGAGGGGTCTGAAATGGTTCAACCAGAAAGGCTGAAACCGAGTCTGCATTGTTTTGTGATACTGCCTCTCCTTATCTTTTACTGAAAGGCATTCTGGAGAAGAGAGAAACTACTCTCTTCTTCAGAGTACTGCTTGATGGGATATTTGTGTTTTATTAACATGTGACTTGACATCCCAAACCAATGTCTTTGATTACTAAGCGATGAGAAACAGAGTTTGGGTTTAACCTCAAAATGAATAATACAATCTATTATTGGTAAATAGGGTTCAGGTGGTGAGCTAGGAAGACCCCCCCCCTGCACGCATCTCCTCTCGTGGACATACTGAGTCTATCGCTACATACAATTTCCTCCTAAAAAAAAAAAAACCCTTAAGGCTAGCTGAGTGACGGCTACACACTGGGCAAATGAGAACTAAACCATATGCAAGCAGGTAGGAGAGGCTGGGTCATAATCTCACTATAAACCCCATCTCTGCATGGTGACCCACAACCAGGTTGCAACTCAAAACCCAAAGGAGTGAAGGGTTCAAATGCTACATAAGGCATCCCAAGTTTTAACACATACCTTGAGAGACAAGCCCTCAAAACATGGAACTTTGAAAACCAGTGAGGCTTGTGTCCCAAGACCCTACAGATCTGAGAAACTGCTCTTAAAAGGCTCAGACACTTGGACTCACACACCCGGGGGGCCCAGGTCAGAGGCAGCGATGGTGCCCAGACTTAAAAGTGAAGGAGGCTTACCTGCGTATATTAAATCATTGGCCTGAAGGGCAGGTGTGTTATTTAACACATGTACCTAGGAGCCTGCTGGAACACTCTCTGGGGACAGAGACTAGTGGATACCATATTCACACACTCCCTCTGCTGTGCTCCAGAGCACCAGGATCTCTCAGAAGGGAGCTTTTACATACATCTATTACCCTGATTTTGAGGCTGCCAACTAGGGAGCACCTCTTGATCACCTGGCTCTGAAGGCGAGGGGAGCTTATGTTCTTTGTCCCATGGGACTGCAATAATCGTGTCACCCAGAAAGGAGCTCATACCCCTGCCTGGAGCTCTGATTTTTATGCCTGCTGACAGGGGACATCTCTCCATCATGTGGCTCTGGGAGGAGATTTTCACTTATAAGTCCCACAGGACTGTAACCACCAACGAAAGAGTTCTTAAATAGCTACCACCCCCAGGGTACAGCAAGAGGCAACAGACCCAGGAGCACAGTCTTTCTGTGAAGGAGGACCATTAGCTAAACATCACAACCGTGGCCTGAGGGGCAAGTTTCTAATGACACACACATCTAGGGTCTCACTGTAATCCTTTCTAGAAACCTCGGAGGGTGTGTGCTGTCTTTGTGCTCATCTCTGCAGCACTCCAGGGCATCAGGGTCCTTACCTTAGCTTTTGCTTGTCTGGAAAATTTTTTATTTCCTCTTCACTTCTGAATGATAATTTTGCTGTGTAGAGGGTTCTTGGTTGAAAGCTTTTTCTTTCAGCACTTTGAATATATAGTGTCACCCTCTCCTGGCCTGTGTAGTTTCTGCTGAAAGGTCTGCTGATAGCCTTGTGGGGCTTCCTTGTCTGTAATAAGTTGGCCAGGGGGAGCTTATGTTCTTTGTCTTACGTGCCTCTTGTGTCCTGGCTTTTATGTCTGGAGTCCTAGTTTTTGCACTGCTGCCCAGGGGACACCCCTTGATCATCTGGCTCTAGCGGCCCCCAGGGGGGTTTGCATCCTGGATTCCATGACCCTATGACAATGAGAGCAATGGTTCTTGGCAGGCAACCACCCCTAAGGTGCTGCACAGACAGGAGACAGGCACCACCACCCCCAACCCTCTCCCCAGTCTTTCCAAAGGAGGCCTCTCTGCTCACGCTAGAGCAGGCTTCAGGTGTGGCATACATTTAGTGGTCTAGAGAACTGCTGTCAAAGAAAGTGGGCTGTGGAGGCCATCTTGATGTTCTCCCTCTGCCTTCCACCAGCTTACTAGTATCACCTAGAAAAGAGCTCATACACTTGTCCGGAGCACTGATTTTTCTAACTGCTACCCAGGAGACACCTCCAGCTCTCCTGGCTCTCGTGGCCAGTAAGGCTTACACTTGTGGTCCCCCAAGACTATATATAAATTGCATACCTTAAAAAGTTGATGCCTGAGGGCTTGGCTTGCAGTCAGCTGGAATCTAGGTGCTGAGATCCTCCCCTCTGCAACACTGACTGATTTGGCACATCCCAAACTACTGGGAACTATTAAAAAAATAATATAGGCTGACTGGACAAGCAGGATGGTTTGAACAAAGAGCTGGGGGAGGGCTGAACAATAAGGTTCATCTCCTACACAAGGCCCCTCCTTCAAGACTGGGAGAGGTTGTTGTTTCATCTACTACATAGAAACCAACACAGAGAGTAAAGCAAAGTGAATAAACAGAGGAGTATGTTCCAAATGATGGAACAAGATAAAACCTCAGAGAAAAAACTTAAATAGAAATAAGTAATTTACCTGATAAAGAGTTCAAAGTAATGGTGGTAAAGGTGCTTACCGAAAATGAAAACACTAACTCAAAAAGATAAAAGTGCCCCTGTTTATTGCAGCATTATTTACAATAGTTAAGACATGGAAGCAACGTAAGTATCCATCAATAGACAAATGGATAAGGAAAATGTGGTGTGTATACACACACACACACACAATGGAACATTACACAGCCATAAAAAGGATGAGATCATGCCATCTGAGACAACATGGATAGGCCTAGAAGGTATCATGCTAACTAAAATAAGTCAGATTGAGAAAGACAAATACCATATGATTCCACTCATAAGTATCATCTAAAAAAATAGACAAAAGTCAAAATCAGAACCATAAATATAGAGAGCAAACTGATGGCTGCCAGAGGGGAAGAAAGTGGGTGGTTGGGCAAAGGAGCAGGAGATACAGGGCTCCAGTACGGAATGAGTAACTTACAGGAATAAAAAGCAGAACATAAGGAATACATCGTTGATATTGTAATAGGACAGATGGTAACTACACTTGTGAGCAAAGCATAATGTGTAAAGCTGCCAAATCACTAAGTTGTATACCTGCAACTATGTAACACTGTGTGTCAAGCCCAATGAGTTTTCTTGAACTTTTTGAAGGAGGCAGTTTTCAGGATAGCTTTTCTGACTTCACAGATTTTAAAAACTGCATTTAAATTAAAAAAAAAAAAGATGCTCACAGAACTGGGAAGAAAAAAATGCATGAACACAATGAGAACTTCAACAAAAAGATGGAAGATGTAAGAAGATACTGAACAGAAGTCACAGGGTTGTCGAATACAATAACTGAACCAAAAATGCCCCAGGGGGGTTCAACAACAGACTAGATGAAAAAAAAGAATCAGTCAACTTCAAGACAAGGCAATAGAACCCAGCCAAATAAGAATAGCAAAAAGAATAGCCAAACTGTGGAAAGAGCCAAGATGTCCATCGACAGATGAATGGATAAAGAAGAAGTGGTATATATATACACAATGGAATATTATGCAGCCATCAAAAGGAATGAGATCTTGCCTTTTGCAACGAGGTGGATGGAACTGGAGGGTGTTATGCTGAGTGAAATAAGTCAATCAGAGAAAGACATGTATCATATGACCTCACTGATATGAGGAATTCTTAATCTCAGGAAACAAACTGAGGGTTGCTGGAGTGGTGGGGGGTAGGAGGGATGCGGTGGCTGGGTGATAGACATTGGGGAGGGTATGTGCTATGGTGAGTGCTGTGAATTGTGCAAGACTGTTGGATCACAGATCTGTACTTCTGAAACAAATAATGCAATATATGTTAAGAAAAAAGAAAAAGAAGAAGATAGCAGGAGGGGAAGAATGAAGGGGAGTAAGTCGGAAGGGGAGACGAACCATGAGAGACGATGGACTCTGAAAAACAAACTGAGGGTTCTAGAGGGGAAGAGGGTGGGGGGATGGGTTAGCCTGGTGATGGGTATTAAAGAGGGCACATTCTCCGTGGAGCACTGGGTGTTATGCACAAACAATGCATCATGGAACACTACATCAAGAACTAATGATGTACTGTATGGTGATTAACATAACAATAAAAAATTTAAAAAAAAGAATAGCAAAAAGAAAAAAAGAATGGAAAATGAGGGTAGTTGAAAGGACTTACTGGACAACATCAAATGAACTAACGTTTGCATCATAGGGCTCCCAGAAGTAGGGAAAGGGGGAGAAATCTTATTGGAAGAAATAATTGCTGAAAACTTCCCTAACCTGGGGAAGGAAACAAACATCCAGATCCAGGAAGCTCAGAAAGTTCCCAAGAAGAGGAACCCAAAGAGACGCACACCAAGACACACTGTAATTAAAATGTTAAAAGTTAAAGACAAGGAGAGAATATTAAAAGTGGAAAGAGAAAAACAACTTATTACAGACAAGGAAGCCCCACCAGGCTATCATTAGACCTTTCAGCAGAAACTGCACAGGCCAGGAGAGGGTGACACTATATATTCAAAGTGCTGAAAGAAAAAACCTTTCAACCAAGAATCCTCTACACAGCAAAATTATCATTCAGAAGTGAAAGGAAATAAAGAATTTTCCAGACAAGCAAAAGCTAAAGAAGTTTATCACCACTAAATTGGCTTTACAAGAAATGTTAAGAAGACTTCTTTACACTGAAAAGAAAGGGCACTAATTAATAACAAGAACACATATGAAAGACTACATCTCACTGGAAAGATAAACATATAGTAAAGGTAGTGGATTAATTACGTCTAAAGCTATTAAGAAGGTTAAAAGACAAAAGAAATTACCTAAAA